GACTCAGCCACGGAGCCCCTGAGCTTTGTGAACTGTACCACCAATGAGAGGCCACAGAGGGTGAGTTTCTGCCCTGATTCCTATTTTGCAGTCCTTCACAGGTGGAGGGTTTGCAATCAGCTTGACATTTCCAATAGCAAAGGAAAGGTTATTCCGTGAGCAGCCTGTGTATTGCAGCTTTTTTCCTGTCTCTAAAAGATGCCTCTGTTGAGGCATTCCCAGCATCAGGAATTTGTGCAGGAACTAAAGGCCTCAGATCACAAGGTGTTTAAGACATTATCTTGTTTGCTGTGTGCTGGCTGATGGAATGCCAAGGGCAGGAGCCTGGTAGTGAGTGTTGAATTTGTAGGGAAAAAGGCAGCAGAGTGCCCAGGTAATGGCTCACTTTGGAAACAGATAAGCAGCAGTGTTGTAGCTTTGGTTCCAGAAGATCTGAATTGTAGGATGGCAGTAATTAGAGCTGGTCATTTTCCTCACTGTAGGACTCTGCCATATTTCCATGACCTTTACTGCATTAAATGGCCAGGACAAAAAACAAGATGAAACACAGTTTTAACTTCTTGCAGTAGAACCAAGCCTTGCTTCCCAGCTTTCTCTGGTCTCCAGACCTGGGCTTATGTTTTGACCTTAGGCTGTGGTCTCTGGTTGTTGGATTTGACTCTTTTGGGAATATTCAGCTTTGGTGCAAGGATTCAACTCTCCTCATTCTGAAAAGTTCATGGCATGGGGTTAGGGGATGAAATTTAGTAAACGAATTTTCCAGGGTGTCCTGGTGCACATCACGTGCAGGGACATTGTGTGGTTCCCCAGGCTTTACACACAGGGGGTGGCTGATGCTCTTGATTTTATTTTTGCAAGATCGTTATGTGGCTGAATCAGAGCTTCTTGCTGCCAGAGGATGCAGAGTTTCAGAGTGCTCCCTTTCAGGTTTGCTTCACTTCCCTTCGTAATGCAGGTCAGCTTTGCATCAAAATCAAGCCTGGTGGAGAGGTGAGTACCTTCATGGACAAGGGGAAACTCCCTCCTAATTATAATCCAGTGAAACTTAAGGGTGGTGCCAGTACGAGACAGTAAAAGTGAGGGGCAACCGAACAGGCAGAGAAAGTACTAATGTTATAGGGATGCTTTTGGAAACTTTTGGGTCTGTTTATTGTTAGTGAGGAAAATCCCAGGGCCTGTTAGTGAAGTAAACTTCTTAGCCTGCAGATGTGTAGGAAGGAGGGTATTTTTTTCCTCACAACCTGGTTTCAGGGAGCCATAATGTGAGGCACAGAGGTTGCCTGTAACTTCTGCACTGGTCCTTTGTGCACACAGACGCCTCTCTATCCCAAGCCTGAATAAAAGCCCCTTTGAGATCAGTGTCTCCTTGTCTCCTGAAAACTGTGGAGTTTTCCCATGCAACAGTTTTGCCTCTTGGTAAAGGACCTGCTTTGAGATGCTGGCAGATGTTTGGGCATGGAAGAGTGCTGAAGTGCTTTCTGTCCTTTCTGCCAGATTTCCATCAACACAGATGACATTGATCTGGCTGGGGACATTGTGCAGTCCCTGGCCTCCTTCCTGGCCATCGAGGATCTGCAGGTGGAAGCAGATTTTCCCGCGTACTTCGAGGAGCTGCGGAAGGTGCTGGTGAAGGTGAGGAGGCACTGGGCATTTCTGAGCTGGCAGATGAGCAGTCACTGGGAGCATTTTATGAGAGGATCTCTAAACTGCTTTATCTTCTTTGTGGAAACCAGCCCAACGATGCCTTACTGTATGTTCCGTGGGACACCCTCGACTTTGTGCCTGTTCTTTGTTGTGTAGAACAGGCCCGTGGACCCCGGCTGGTGGTTGTTTAGGATGATGTAAATGGGTTGTCTGGGAGTTTGGGTCAGGGCATGAAATGTGTATCTCAGCCTGCTCACCCCCTTCCAGGGGCCAAGGTGCTGCTCTGGCAGCTGGGGTGAGGGGAAGGAGAATGGTCTCAGGGATGCTGGTAGGTTAAGTTGTGATGTTGTTATTTCCTATTTCACTGGGCCAGTAGCACACGGGGTTTAGCCTGGGTGCCCAGGGTGCCCAGGACCCTTGCTCAGGAGCTGCTTGCCTTGGCCAGGTGGATGAACACCACGCTGTGAATCAGAGGCTCACTGCTGACATGGCTGAACACTCCAACCTCATCCGCAGCATGCTGGTCCAGGCGGAGGATGCTCGGCTCCTGGGAGACATGTGAGCCACTGCTGCCTAGCTCGTGTGCTTTGGGTTTAGAGCAGCCAGTTTTTGCTTTTCAGGTGGAAAAGAGCACAAAAAACTATTGGTGTGATACAGGAGTTGCCTAGTTACAGCTTTTGATGTAGAATTTTACCTTTGCTGGTCCCACCATGAACCTTGTCTCATTCTTTGGGTGGAAAACCAGTCAGGGCAAAGTGAGAGGGCAAGGGTAGGGCTTAGTGTAGAGCAGGTGGGGTGAATCTACTTCAAGATGGTGAGATATGTTAGAAAAGATACATTAAGGGAAGAAGGCAGGAAAAGCTGTCTTTGGTGTGTGAACTTTCTAGAACAACAAGAAATGTTAGGTGTGTTTTCACTCCAGTTTGCTGTGTTCTGCTGATGTCTGAGCTTTACTGTGAAGAGCAGCAGTGTCTGAGCTACTGCAGGGCAGTGGTACTTTCACTGGGGAAAGTGGCATCTCCACTTTGGCTTGCTGGGTAAAATAACTGCAATGGACCACTTGTTTTTAGAGTAAAATGATGAGTATAACCGACATGTTTAGCCAAGTCTGTTGTCTCACAGCTGGCAGACTGTGGTAGCCATCACAGCCACGTATTGCTGCACCTTTACATTGACAAACCAGGAGTGACTTTCTTGTCCCCAGAGATGCAAATAACTGGACTTATTGTTTCCCCCAGGAAAAACATGAAGACACGGTACATTGAGCTGTATGATCTGAACAGAGACTTAATAAATCAATACAAAATTCGTTGCAACAACCACACGGAGCTGTTGAACAATCTGAAGGCTGTGAACCAGGCGATCCAGAGGGCTGGGCGGCTGCGGGGTGAGTCTCTGATTTTGGAGGGATTGGGGAGTCTCAGGCCCTGGTGAGGCAGATGAGATGTGTCCCAGAGGCCACCTGGGTTAGTTAAAGTGACCTCAGGCTTTTTGGCCTGAAACTCAATTAGTAGAAATAATCTTCCTTTTTTCAGTCGTAGCCAATTGCCTGTGCCAGTCAACTGTGAGCCTCCAGTATAATCTGGGATCACAGTTTTAGAAAGAACAGTTTAAAGTAGTTTCCAGCTTTCTGAATGATACGGAAATTCCTAGTTCTGTTGAACATAATTCTAAAAGTAGTATTTCAGTTCTTAGTTTATAATTCTACTTTAAAAAAAGGCAACTACCAACTTAAGCAGGGCTGTTTTATCTGTATTATCAGTCCCGTAGGTCTTTTGGGAAGGAGGTACTTTTTTGTCCATAGCATTCCCCTTCCAGCGAGTCCTTTAAGCTCTCCTAAAACAGAACTACAGATGATTCTTCTTTAAAGAAAGGTTTTTATTTATGTATTAGAAAAAAGGAGATGTTTCACCATGTGTTTAAAAAATATCTGGAAGAAACCCCTAAATTTTGAGACTGGATCAAATAAGCATTTTTACCAGTTTCCTACTCAGTAACTGAAGTGTTTTTTCTTTCCTTTCCTTTTTGTCTCTTTGCAGTTGGCAAACCCAAAGCACAGGTGATAAGTGCTTGTCGGGATGCAATAAGGAGCAACAACTTCAACACCCTGTTCAGGATAATGCGTGTGGGAACAGCCTCTTCCTAGGGAGCGGAGCAGCAGCAGCACAGAGGCAGATAATGGGTGACAAGCAGTTCATTCAGTTCATTCAGTCTCCTGCTCCACTGGAGGGGGAAGGAATTCCAAAAGTAGCATTGTAGTTAAGCTGTCAGCTGGAAAATATGCGGGCCAAAGCTTCATGGAGAGAGCATCAGAGCTTAAGTGCAGATGTGGTGTTTATGCAAGACAGAGGTATAATGTTCAAGCAGTTATTTTTCTTACAGTAACTTATTTATGTATTTAAATATATTTTGTACTTAAGGCATTGGCCTTTTCCATTAAAGCGTAGACTGACTTGACTGCTTTTGTTTTGATTTAGTTGGGGAGATGTGTAGTGTTAAGTTTATTTGTTGAAAAATCCAACCCAAACCACTTCTCTGGCTTTTGCTGCGTGGTCTCTGTGCACTTGAACTCCCCGTGCTGGAGAATCCCGGGTTTCATTGCAGGGATGTGTGGCTCTTCAGGGAAACTGCAGTGCAGTGCACTAGAAGCACCGGGGGGATAACATCTCCTTGCTGGCTTTTAAGCCAGACCTTTGTCAGCCATCCAGTTCCATGATGTGTGCAGGTAGGAAGTGCTCTTGTTTCGTACCCCACGCTTCCCCACGCCTGGATTGCAGGAACCTTTGCTTCCAGCTACTGGTTCCTGTGCTATGGCTGGAAAAACTGCAGCTGCTGAGGTGGGCAAGGGTGCATTTCAGGAACAACAGAAACAAACTACACACCCAAGCTTGGTGCATACTCATGAAGAGCTGGCAGTACCTAATGGGATCAAAAGAAGAAGGTACTGAAAACTCATTTGGTTCCTGGCTCAAACCTGTTTAATTGCGGAATCTCTTTGAATTGGATTACAATATTACAGTAAGGCTCTCTATCTTAGATCTGAAGGTATTTTTGAATCTTTGCCAAAGCAGATTTCTTTTAGAAGCTAAAAATATCCCGCCCAGGGTGGTGATTGAGCCCTGGTGCTCCTCGTTGTGTGCTGTGCATCACACCTGCTGCTGTGCAGGTCGGGGTTTGTGACACAGGTGGGGAGGAGTCGGCCCATCCCTGTGAAATGGAGTTCTTGGGTCACTTCTTGGGGCTGTCAGGAGGATTTGTGTCCTGTAACTGGTCTGTCTCCTACGAGCCACTACTGAATTAAAACTATCAAGCCTGGATGGAAACAAAATCTGGCTTCCATCTCAAGTTTGTTAGAGAGCAGTTGGTGAGCGTGTGACCAGGTGAATGGGGAATGTAATTCTTACAATGTGATTTAATCCCCAGAACTGCCCCTTGCCACTGATTCAGTCCCTTCCATGCAGAGAACTGCACTGTGGAAGTACAGACCTCTGTCACTTCAAATCCACAGCAGGAGCTCATTTGAATCCTTTTAAGAGCCTGCTGTTAGTCAAATCCAGCTCCTTGGTAAAAGGGTGGTGAGCCACCCATGCTGTTCTAAGCAGGTGAGCTCAGACTTGATTATGGAACAGTCTCCTGGCATAAGTGCTGGGCTTTCTGCCACCTGCTGTACCTGTTCCCACTGTTTCAACCTCCTGTTCTTAATGTTCAAAATCCTAATGCTTGCTTGCTTATATTTATGTACTCTATTTAGTGATAAGAGAGTGGCTGTGATCAGAAAGCAGCTTTCCCATCAGCCTGATTTTCAGGACTTCTCACCAGGCACTGCCAGTCCCAGCTCTGTTTTGCTCCTGGCAAGGTCAGTCCTTTGCTCGCTGTCCAGTCCTCTGATAACGCTGATTTCCCCCATTTAAGCTTCTGACAACAAATTTGTACTTTATTTTCCTGTAAAGCCAACTTCCATCTGCCAAGTGAAAAATGCACATCCTGTGAGCTGAGGTGATACCAGGCTTGCAGTTGCCTGTTGGAATAAAGCTGGTGTGCAGTAGCAAGCTGGCATAAACTGAGCCTGCACCAGGAGACCAGTGGCAAACAGTCCCCACTGGTACAGTTTAGCCCAGGACCAACACCCAGGAACCTCATTTTTGGGTATGGGAGGGGAACTGCACTGAGCAGGTCAAGCTGATGGTCAAGTACAGAATAAGCTCTGAAACGGTGCTAGTAGAGCTGTGTGTTGCTAAGAATTCATGGGCAAGGGCTGCTTAGATGGCACCACACCTTGGTATGTGTGCTGGGGATAGGGTCTGGACCACTGTCCTGCCCTGCTGGGACGTGGCAGTTTGGACTGGAACCTTCCTCCTATGGCCCCTTCCCTGCCTGGGCAATGCACTGCAGCAGTATGTGCTGGATCAGCACCTGCTGGAGAGGGATCTGTATAGCACTGATTCCATGTCCTAATTGAAGTTCCAGTTTGGAGGTGAAGAAGCAGTTGGAACTGACAGGTTATCTGATTTCAGCCCCTGTTCCTTCAAGCCCTGTGCATTGCTGCTCATCTTCATGGTAGTTCACTGAATACCCAATGGTAGAGCTTTGCTGCATGTTTATGGATGCTGGAACAATTCCTTCAGTCTGCTCTACAGCTGAACTGTCTTATCTCCATATTTGAATTGTTCCTGTTTTCAGCTGCTTGGCAAACCGATGGCCACCAAGTCCCAAAATATTTGCTGTGAAGTACATGAACAGCTCGAAGCTTAAACAACTGAAAGCTGCTGGTGCCCTGCCTCAGGTGCCAGGCTGGGAGGTGCCATCAGCTGGTGGGAAATGCATGGCCTTGTACAGCCCAGCTCATCAGTGGCTTCTTGCCTGGTATGAAGTTCCTGTTCTCTGTTGCTTCCCCTCTGTAACTCTGTTCACTTGTGGTTCTTGGGCCTATTTTTCTATATTGTCCTGCTTATTAATTTTGTGGGTATGTACATGTCTCATATTCATATTCCTCTCCATAATGATGGAGTACTTTGCAAGCAGCTACACCTAATTGTAAATACGGATTTGTACCCAGCAAGAGCAGCTACAGAGATGGCTCCCATTACTGGTGCTGTGTAAAGTAAGACCCCTCCTCCTCCCATAGCTCACATCATTTGAAATGTCAGCATGTGGAGTCCTTCCTCTGTACATGCAGTGCCAGCCTCTGGCTTTTGGGACCTGGGACAGGAAGGGTGGGAGAGCAGAGTGTTCATTTTTAAATCTTTGAAAGCCAACTGCAAATCTGGCTTCCTAAATTACTTCATCTGAGTCACCAGAGGCAGAAAGGTGGTTCCTTGTATGATCTGGTAGATAGGGCCTCGCTCTAGCTGAGGCTGCTATGCCCTCTAGTGTAGTATTTATTATTAAAAAGCAGCAAACTAGAGAGCCCAGCTTCTCCCAGTCTCCTGGGAGGCGTTTCCAAGATCTGCCAAGCACATTCATAGGCTCAAAATGTAAGAAGTAACTTCATTTTGTTAATTCATTTACTCCCAACTTTGCCCAGCAGACTATGCTGTCAATAGCTGTGGTATCTGTCACTTTTGTTCAAAACTACACAAATAATTTTGGGTTTTTGTTCTTTGAAGCTTCCATTACTCGTCTCTTTCAACTGGAGCAGCTCAGAATAAGAACTGCTTTCTCCCCAAGAAGAGCTGCTGCCCCAATAGGCAGCAGAGTGCCTCAGAAATCAGTAATTCAGAGAGTCCTGTCCTACTTCAGGATTAGTTTCTAGCTTCATCCCCTGGTCCTTGTAAATAGCAAAGGAAGATTAAAACTAAGCAAGAAAGCCTTGGTAGTGCACAGAGAAGCCATCTCAGGGAGACAGGATGTGAAGAAGATGGTGTAGATCTTGCAACTGCAGCTCAGCACAGCCACCTCCCAGCTGTCCTTCCCGTTCAGCAGTGCAGGAGGGAGTAGCTACAACTGAACAACTGCTTGTCATCTGGGATGGAACTGACCCTGGAGCTACAGAGTTCTGCACAACAGGAGTGCAGGACAGTGTTGTCCCCTTGCTCTGGCACCTGCGGGGGCTGAAACACCTTTCCCTTTGGAAGCAAGGGCAGGGGTTCCTGCCAACTGCCTCAGGGAATCCTTTTTTGACCCCTGTGTATTGGGACTGAAGCTGAAGGCTGTTGCTCCTGTATCTTCATGAAGACATGCCCACAGGACACCTCTCCTGCTCATCAACAGTTGGCCTTGCTTTGGGCTCACTGCTCCTCTGCAGCCAGCTATGGTCTTACACCACCGTGGTGCTCTTCAACAACAGGCCTGGAAGCCTGGAAGAAGCCTGGAAGAAGGAGCAGACTTTAATCCAGAGCTCCCCTCTCCCAGCCCAGGAGAGGCAGGAGGAATGAGACGTGCACACTCTCCCCAGCTCACTGCAAGCCTGTGGCCTGCACTGCCTGGCTCGGATGAGCTGGAGGAACACCCGTGTCTCAGTGCCAAGAGAAGTTTCAGGCAAGCAGGTGCAGGCCAGGGCCGAGCCTCCAGCAGGGTGTTGAGCCCTCTGGCTGGCTCTGGAAGCATCAGCACAGCTCTGCTGCACCTCGTGGTGAGTGTGGCACAGCCCTGCTGCAGTGGACGTGGGGCAGGCACAGACCCTGAGAGCACGTGCAGGGAGGAGGTGCTGCAACAAGACCACTGCTGTTCTTGTGCTGTTTACCACAGGACCTGGCTGGCTGCTGCCCTGAAAGACCTGAGCTGATCCCCAGTGACAGAAGCCATCAGAACCCAGCAGATCCCAGGACATCACTAACAGGACAGGAGGCCGTGCTGCTGGAGACCTTCCTACCACCTGTGGATGACAAGCCAGGCAGAGGTGAGTTACCACATTCCAGCTGCCAGCCCACCACCCCTGCTCCAGGCTGGAGCCACAACCCTTTCCCAGCTGAAGCCAGGAGCTGTCTGCACACCCACCAAGCAGAGTGCACGGGAGCAGGTTTCTTCTCTCGGCTGTTTACCTTGTAAATCCTTTGGAAAAAGGGCTGCATCTGGGTCTGTCTGCACAGCATTTAGCATAATAAAGTCCTGCTTCTTGTTACAGTGCCAGGGCCTTCCCCATGCCAGCAGCTTTATAGCCTCACTGTTTTCCTTCCCAACTCCCCAGAGCTGTGCAGCTGGAAAAACCTCATATTTCCCAGGGCAGCTCCTTTATTTTTGCCTCTGCAAACAGGGAACCCAGTTAAGCCCCAGAAAATGTCTTGGGCATTTTGTAACAGAACTTGCTCGACCAGTGTTTGAAGCATTGAACTGACCCATTTCCTTTTTTTTCTTTTTTAATAAGAACAGTCATCAGCTCGGGGCAATGTACAGTTGTAATTCTCACCCTGACAGCTCAGAGACACCACTGTGCTGCTCCCATGAGAACACAGCTGGAAAGCTGACAGCTGTGGGACAACCCTCTCCACACAGCATTAAAAGCAGTCTAGGGTGTGTGTTGCAATGGACTTGGGAGGAGATTGAATTTCATTTGTACAGTTAAAAAAGCCACCTGGACCCCACTGTACGCAGCGTGATGAAGTTGCATCAGCAACATTTGTCTGCACTTAGGTCCCAGCTGAATGCCTGGACAGGAACCTGCCCACCACCCACCACCATCTCCTGTGACAGTGTCACACTCTGCACCATCACTCGTAATAGACAAAGGAAAAATCCCAAAATCCTGTTCTGTTTGGATGCTTGTTCAGGCGCGCCAAGCTACGATGGTTGATGTATTTCACAAACTTCATCGTTTCTTTGTCTCTGTAAACTAAGGCCAAGCAGTTGTCCTCTGGATTCACTGTCAACAGCTACAAGACAAGAGAGGAAGGGAGGAAATCAGTGTCATAAAAATGGCTTTGACAGAATTCTGAAGAAGAAACAAAAGTTTCAAAAGTTAGTCGGAGCAAAAGTCTGGTGTTAGAAAATGAACTGTGACACCATTTTCACTTTAATACCCCTTAACCTGAAGCATTATTATAGAGTAAGGGGTTCTGGACTGGTATGACTGCTCAGCACTGTCATTGGTACTGATGCTGGATGTGACCCCAGTGAATGGCACCCCCTGGAAAAGTGTCATCTCTGCCACAGCCTTGTGTCCCTCCAGGGCAGCTTCCCACATGGCCCCAGGTGCTGTGAGGCACTGTCAGGGCCCAGGTCTCACACTTTAGGGGAACACCAGCCTCTGGAAGCACGAGCAGGGACTGGGGCAGGAAGGCTCCAGAGCAACACGGAGCACCCTCAGGATTATGTTAGTGTACGACAAAGTGTAATTATATCACTCCACCCTGAACAATTTTATCTGATTTGCAGCTGGTAACTGAGGTCCTTACCTCTTCATCTTCACCTTTGGCAATGTAGGAGGTAAAGCCACCATATTCAGGATCCCAGTCTTAAAACAGAAAAGAAAGACTCTTAGAAAGTTCAGTGCTGCCCAGGCTTCTTACAGCCCTCCTGGAGATGGTGTTTTGTCACCCCGCTGCCCACAGTTACTGGATACAGGATAATCCCCACAGTTTACCTCCTCACATGTAGAACAGTTCTGCCTTAGCAGGCAGCAAAAGGATTTCAGGATAATTACCAGCATGTGCCAGATGGTTTCAGCTGTGTGTTCTGGGCTCAGCTGGTCTAAAATGCTTGTGTTTAGATTTTTGTTTTCATCACTATCTAACTAGCAATCTAAAATGCCCAGACATGCCTAAAGTCACTGTTGAAAACCCTGGGCTTTGTGAACTGGAGGTGCAGTTGATAATTCTGGTGAGAAAAGGGGTGGAACAGAACACTTTCAGCGGGTGTTCTGGCCACCTGACCCTCCACCGTGCTCAGAGCCGCTGCTCGGGAGAGGACAGGGCTGGGAGACTCAGCCTTTCCCTCTGCCCAGGCGCCACCTCCTGGCTCCAGCAGGAAAGGCCAGAGCTGACTCCAAGGCCACAATCCCAAATCTTTGTACACAAAGACTACTGAAACAAGGGTTTATGCCGAAGTGAGGACTAGGGCAAAATTTAAAGAGACCTCCCACGTAGGAAAAAGCAGGGAAATTTTGGTTGTTTCAGCACTGCTGAGAGGTCAGAAGGAACTCCTTCGTGCAGAGCTTGTAAGGAGAGTGCCACCTCTCCTGTCCACTTACCCTCACAGCCACAGAAGAAGAGCAGGTCGAGAGCAAACTCTGTTGCTTGAGCGTCGTGGACTAGAGTGTAGTGCCCGTGGGTCCAGCGCCGCAGCTCCCCCGCGCACACCGGGGCACCCGAGCCTGGGAGAGGGCACAGAAACACCAGGGAATGCCAGGAAACTGGGCAGCAGCACGTGGGGAGCAAGGCCTGGGGCTCTCACACCCCTGAAATCGCCTGCTGGCCCCCAGCAAAGGAAAGGTAAACCCACAGATGGCGTGTTAACATCTGTCCCAGTCCCAAATCTTTGTTGGCGAAGCCCAGCCATGATGATGATGATGAGAGGTGGCTGTAGGTTATGTACTTTGAACATGTAGGAGTGGGACCAACATTTGCTCCAAGCTCTGCTGTGCTTTAGTTTAACCAGTTCTTCCCTTTTTATTGTGTTTGCCCCGGATTTACAGTAGAGCTCCAAACCTCAAGAGCCAGCATCCTTTCTGCTCTGGAAGTACCCAGGAACTACCAGAAACCCCAGTGAAGGAGGACATTGCTCTGAACTCTGTGTGTGCCACCCAAGGAGGTATGTCACAATTTGGGGAAGCCTTTCTTTTCTCATGGGTCTAGCTCAGTTTTCAGTCCATGTAGACTCAAACTATGCTCTCCTCATATATGAATTAAAAATCACACAAAGCAGATAGAAGAGCCAAATGACTGTGGAAACCAGAAAAACAAAGACCTGTTCCTACTAAGTGTTCTGATGGGATTTTTCATTAGGACTATTTTTTTTACTATCTTTTATTCCAGTGTCCACTAATTTGCCTGGCTCAGTGGAAGATGAGCATTTTCAAAAATTCTGCCCTTAAATTCCAGAGCCACTGTTTCAAATAAAAATCACCAATCCATGCATCCAAAATTAATCTCATCCTTGACAGCAGTGGTATCTCACTGCTGACAATAAATGGTTATTAAGGCTGACAGTGTTTTCTGAAAGGTTAAATCCTACCTTTGAGGTATATCAGTTTTCTAGTTCTGAAATTATGTTGATGTGTTCACCCTTTTCCTTTAGATTTGTTATCTTGCATGAAAATCTGATTTATAAGAAGCAGGGATATTTGTATGTAGAAGCCACATACAAAAAAGCTTAATGGGCAATTAACAGCCCTCCCTAAAGTCCTATCCTTAAGACTTAGGTCTGTTCAAAATGGTAACTTCAAGTTAGTCATGAATTTACTCCAAATTCTTTTGCAATGGTCGCTGATTTTGGACGCCCAATCTGACGTGCTTCAGGTCCCACATTTGTGCTGGTGCCTTGTGCTGGCTGCAGCACAAGATGAAACATTAGGTCCCATGGAAATCACTGGGAACTCTGCTGCCAGCACTCTTAGCACCAGGATTGTGCTCGAGCCTTTTCCCACTGCTGCTGCTCTACTCACTGCTCCGTGTCTCGCCATCCTGTGCTTCACCAGAGCTGTCAGGCTGCTCTGGCTCACAGGGATTGCCATCAGCGTGTCCTTCAGCTTCTTCCTGCTCAGGTTTGGGACTTCTGTGCCCAGCAGTGTCCGCTGCTCGTCCTTCCCCAGCATCTTCATCCTCATCAGAGGGAGCCAGGAAGTGCAGCTTTAAGCCAGTGAAGTTGGAAAGCAGCAAAAACAAGGCCTCGGAGCGTAAGAGCTGCAGGAATTTCTTCAGGGTGTCAGGGAGGCTGACTTCCTCTGCTGCCTCATAGAGTCTGAAAGACAGCAGGTGTGTCAGAAGGTTTATCTCCTTGTTGGAGAGCCAACAAGGACCACATCCTTGGGGCTGCCTCATGGCAGCTCCTGCTTGGCCCCACCAGCAGCTGCCGTGTGCTGCCATTCCCCACCTTTTATTGGCAGGCCCCCGACCACTCCACTGGATCTCTTTGTTCTCCAATGCTTCACAGAGTAGCTGGTATTTCTCTTTCTAGGCAAAAAAAAAGATAGTGCAGAGACATTCTCATTCAGCTCCCAGGTGTGCCAGAAGCAGTGCCTCCAGATAAGGCACTCGAACTTGTTTGAGGATCCCCAGACTGCTGAATTCAGAGACACTGCCTGGGAGGGTGTTGTGTCTTTTCAGTGTCAGTGACCAGGAGGTATCAGATGCTACTGGGTTGTCTGCTGGGTGAGAATGCAGCTTCACTGAGATACAGGTGCCCTGTAAGCCACAGGTCAGTCAGCCTTGAGAGGCAAAGCCCTTCAAGACAAACCTCTCGTGGGTCACTTGTTTCACACACACGTGGAGTTCCCCAAGTGCTAGACTGCAAGAGCTGGGGGAAAGGCTGGGAAGCAGGAAGGATGACACGGGTTTCCAGCCTTCTGCTTTGCTTCTTGCAGGAAATAAGGTTGAATACAAGTGTTTTATTTTTGGTGAGTCCCTACACAGCAGTGTACAGGCAGTCAGAGGGGATCCATCCACAGAATCACAGAGTGGTTGAGGTTAGAAAGGACCTCTGGAGGTCCACTCCCCTTTAGGGCACGAAACTAGGTGTTTTAGTTAACAGATGTGCAAGCAAGCCCTTTCCCAGCCTGCATGCCAGGTGGTACCTGTCACCCTGCAACCTGTTCTGGCAGATCAGATCCAATCGAACCACCAGGCTCACCTTAAGAAAGTCTTTCAGGAGAATTTCTGATCGCTCCTCAAATTCCTCCTGGATTTGAGCTTGGGAGTCCATGTCCAAATAAACTGGATTGATCCACTCATACAGTATTTCATGCTGGAAGGGAAATGGATTGCAATGCTGAGTTTGCAAAAGTGAAATTCTTCAGTTCCCCCTACTGAGCTGCCCACAGGGCTGCATTCCCTCACACACACTCTCCATTCCTTTATTTCATTGCACCACAAGTATTTGCCGCAGTTTCTGAACTACTGGAGGTATGCAAAACACCCAGAGCCAAGAAAGATGCACAGGAAAGAAACTGGATCCAAATTCATGGACAGAGAACAAAAAGGAGAACGCGACAGGATTAAAGCATCCCCAGAGCATCGCTGCCTCCCGTAACAGGTATTACAGGAGCAAGGAAGAGAGAGAAATGCAGATAAGCAGATGTTACTCACATCATAGGGGATGTGGGGGCTCCTGGGCAAGGGAGTTTCAGCGGGGCGTGTGGGTCTGGGCACGGCCGGGCCGTGGAACCAACCGCTCACGGACAGGCGGCACTTCCGCGACACAACCTCCGACACCTGCAACAGCCGAGCACGGCACTGCTGGGGGACAACACTGCTGGGACCAGGGGGGACAGGCACCCTGTAAACTCATGACAGGAGCTGGACCTGACTGCAGAGAGCCCACGTGCATACATGGAAAAGTCAGACAGGGCTAGACCAGTGGGATTATCAGACAGGCCTAAAGCAAACTTTGATGCTCAAGTCCATTGTGTGTTTCCAGAGTTCCAGTCTAAGATTTTACTCCAAGCTCACAGCAGAGCTCTCTCTGAGAGCTTTGTCATTCTGTTATAAAGTAATTGCATTTCATTTTTCTACCATTTATTCTACCACTTATTTCTACCATAAGGGACTGCAAAGATCAGCTGTCACAGCTTAGTCTGGAAGGTCAGACAGCACAGAGCACCCGTGGGCCTTGGCAGGCTGCACTGCTCTGCTTTTGTGTCCTTTACTTTTCAAAAAATGCTGTAACACAAGCCATCATGAAGGCTCTTAGCTTATTTGTCAGACTAAGGGCAGACCCTCTATCCTGGCATTTGCCCTGGCCTCTGGGAACCCTCAGTTTTCCCACAGCGATGGTCACTGTTAAATCTTGATTTCATGAAACTGTGCAGAGGTTGGGCTAAATGGAACAATTTCACACTCTAAGGTGCTGTAACAGTAGTGTGAAGAGAAAGCACAAATGATGCCCCTGTTGGCAAGGTGGTGGGCTCAGGAGCTCTTCTGGAGTGAAGTGATGGCACCCACATGAAAAATGTGAGCTAGTTTAAAACAAGCCAACAAACAAAAACAGGCCCTAGCCAAATTCACAGCAGGGGCTTGCCAGGATAGCAACACAAAACAAGTTTTCCTTTCCCAGGATGATGAAGCTAGACTGATAGTTTAATGTTGGCTTTGTCAGTTCTTGTCCTCCCTAAAGTCCTTGAAGCCCTGCCTTTAGCACACAGCACTTAGCGTGAGTATCCGCTCTAGCCACAGTTCTTCTCCCTCCCCATCAGGACTGTAATAACACACAGAGGGAACAACCACAACAATGAGAATCAACAAATGAACAAGAGACAGCTCCTTGCCTGGTGGAAAGAGACTGGAGACACTTCAAAGAAAACCAGCGTGTTCCACGAAGGTACTAATGACTTGGTGATGTGCTGTGGCTGAAGGTGTTCTGAGGAGGAAGAAAACATACTCTGGTTAAGATATTGAACTGGAACTTGCTAGAAACTGCTATTTCTCTCTTCATGACAGTGACTGGTAGGACACCTGGTTATAAGGGATGGAGCTCAGAGCAAGGGCTTGGCGAGGAATCAGCGCACTGCTATGGAGACAGGCAGAGAAAGTTGGAGCTGTTCAGCCTGGAGAACAGAAGGCTCCAGGGAGACCTTAGAGCCCCTTTCAGTGCCTAAAGGGGCTGCAAGAGAGCTGGGAAGGGACTTTGGACAAGGGCATGGAGTGACAGGACAAAGAGCAATGGCTTCAAACTGACAGAGGGCAGGGTTAGATTAGATGTTAGGGAGAAATTCTTTACTATGAGAGTGGTGAGGCCCTGGCGCAGGTTGCCCAGAGAAGCTGTGGCTGCCCCATCCCTGGAAGTGTCCAAGGCCAGGTTGCACAGGGCTTGGAGCAACCTGGGATAGTGGAAGGTACACCTGCCCACAGCAGGGGGCTGGAATTAGATGATCTTTAAGATTCCTTCCAACCCAAACCATTCTGTGGCTCTGTTGCTGGAAAGGGACATTACTGTCATCAATCTGGAGTTCCAAGCACAGTTACTGGCATTGCTTCCAACTTGCCTCCACTCTCAGCCCTTCCAAAAGAACAGAATAAAAGGCTGTTTCTTTGTCTGCTGTTGCTCATTGTCTGTAAACCCCACTACAGCCCATCCCTAAAGGTGCGAATTTTACCTACACATCCCCTTTTGTGGACAAAGGAGAAACTCTTTATCTCCCTGCTACTGTTTGAGGAGAGAGTTGCAGCAAGGTGCACAGGAGCTCCGTGTTTTTCACCCCCCTGAGGCCAAGGCCGGGCTCTCACCGTCTGTGCTGAACAGGTCCAGCGTTCCCCCGTCACTGCTCTCCCAGGGGGGGACAAGGTACAGGATGAAGGCGATTCTCCGACCCTCCAGCTCGTCGTCGTGGCACAGCAGCACATCTGCAATCACACACGTTTTGCTGCTGCAGCATCTTTCCAGCACGCACGTGACTCAGTCCAACAACTGCTTCCCAGCTTGGCCCCCACAGGGACACGACAAGAAGAAACATGTTCCTCCCAGGAACTGCGTTTTCACTCATCAGCATCACCAGCCCGAGATCTGCAAGGGTAACTTCTGTGGGACTGCACTGCAGCTGGCAGAGCCCCTCTGAAGGTACAAGCAGTCACACCTTATCACCCACCCCTTCCTGGCTGCCACCGGGCACGGGGGACAGAGATTCCCAACCTAAACAATGATTCCAGCTCTGACCTCTGAATGGAGGAGGCTTGTTGCTGGAATAGAGAGGAGGGGGAATCCTGAGAACAGAAAAGCTGGACCAGCAATTGATTGTGCAAAAGACTTGTAAAAATTAGAGCTGATCGCAGTAGAGAACTCCCCCTTTCTACAGTGACTTTTCATGACTGAAAGCACAGAATCCAGCTGAAACCTGAATTCACCAAGTGACATTTTGCCAACAGAATTCACAAACTCAACTGCAGCGTTTGGAAGATGAACATGTCACCCTTTTGCATTGAAGCAGCCACATAAACACAGGCTGAACATCTCTGAAAAGGTGGGGACTTGCAACAGCACCAGGCCCAGTTAAAGCCACCAGCAACAGAACTGCAGCAACAGTTTTTCCATCATTTGTACTTTGTTTTCTGAGACTTTGATTTGCTGCTTCTGGGACCCTCTGGAACTAGAAAAGGGTTGGGATGGGTGATAAAACTAGATATTCCATAGACATTTTATTTTCTACATGTGCACAGAAGCTTTAGGGAAAGGATCACTTATATACTGACCAGTATACTCATATTTAGCACAAGAGATGTCAATAGTTGGCTCCAGCTCTATCTGGGTCACAGCAGAAAGCCACGGTCGGAATTCTTCACACAGAGCATTCCTGAGAAGACAAGCATAGGGTACATGTCCCACATGTTATAAAGCATCCATATCACCATAGACTAATTTATTGTCTCCCAACTATTTAAAGAGTTACAGGAGCTGTTTCTGCGGGTGACAGTGTATCCTTTACCTCAGCGCGGCGATGTGGGGCTCCGGGCTTGCCCCCAGCTCCTCGGACTGCGGCGGCCCATGGAAGAGAAGAAGGGACGGGGGTTAAGGCGGCTCAGCACAGCACAGCACGGCCCGGCCCGGCCCGGGGCCCACCTGCCGCAGCGAGAGGAGGTCGTTGTGCCGCCCGTGGAAGCCGAGGCCCAGCAGCTCGTCCCGCAGCGCCTCCGCGAAGGCCGCGTCCGCCAGGAACCCGGGGATGACGGCGTGCGGGAACGGGGCCGGCTCCAGCGCCGCCGCCTCTGCCAGGGAAAGGCCGCCGGTGAGAGCCGGGCCGGGCCGTACCGTGCCGCAGCCGCTCCCAGCGGGCACGGCGTGGCCGTACCAGGCCGTACCGTGCCGTACCGTGCCGCAGCCGCTCCCCGCGGGCCCGGCCGGGCCGTACCGTGCCGTACCGTGCCGTACCATACCGCACCGCTCCCCGCGGGCCCGGCGTGGCCGTACAAGGCCATGCCGGGCCGTACTAGGCCATACCGGGCCATACCGTGCCGTACCGTGCCGCAGCCGCTCCCCGCGGGCCCAGGCCGCCCCCGCGCGCTCCCGCAGCGCCGCGTCCCCGAGGGCCGCGCACAGCTCGGCGCGCGCCTCCCGCTTCCCGCGCTTCGCCCCCGGCGGCGCGCCCGCTCCGCGGCGCTTGGCGGCCATGCTGCCGCCAGACCGGACTGCAACTCCCGGCGCCCCCCGCGCCGCGCCCCCGGCGGCCAATCGGATGGCTCGGGGGACGGGGCTGGGTGCCGCCGGCCAATGGGCGAGGACGGGAGGGCGGGGCGCGGTCCCGGCAGGCGGCGCGCGGCGCTCGGGGCCGGGCGGGCGTTAATGGCGGACGCGGCTCCCGCCGCCCAGCGCTGACCCGCCGCTCCCGCCGCCTCCCGCCATGTCCGTGGTGCCGCCCAACCGCTCGCAGACCGGCTGGCCCCGCGGGGTCAACCAGTTCGGCAACAAGTACATCCAGCAGACGAAGCCGCTCACGCTGGAGAGAACCATCAACCTGTGAGCGCCGCCTCGGGCCTGCCCGCCCCTGCCCTGTCCTGCCCGCTCCCTCAGCAGCCCCGGGGGGGTTCGCGCTCAGCGCCCGCCCTGCGAGGGCCGGAGGGTCGCGGCCTCCCCGAGAGCCGAGAGCAGGGCGGCGGCACAGCCCGGGTGCCTTTGGGGCTCCCCCCACGCGGGGCTGCTGAGCCGCACTGGGGGTACCGGGGGTACCGAGGGCTCGCCGGCCTTCGGGGGAGTGCGGAGCGTTTGGGGTGAACGCGTTAGTGCTTAAAAACAGCGTCTGGCTCGGGAGGTGTGAGCCCCGAGTAACACAGGGAGGGTTTGGGCCTGTTGAGCATCACCGACCCTCTCAGGGATTATCCGGAAAGGCGGCAGGGAGGGAAACGGGCTCTTTCTTGGCCTCGCTGGGACCCGGGCTGGCCCTGTGACCCCAGGCAGTAGGATGTAGCTGGATGTGCCTGGTGTTTGTGGGTTGTCTGGTGCAGGTGTTGGGGTTTAATTAGGGGTGGTTGCTACCAGAGAAAACTTTACTTCTGTCATAGATACAAACTACTTGCTAATAAGTATTTACATATTTTTTAATGAGAAGCCATATATTTTTAGCTTCTTCCAGAAAATTCTGGTGGACGTAGAATATGTTCTTTGCTAAGTACATCTGTCAAGTTGCAAAAACCAGCAGATGTTAACTGCAGCAGTCAATATTCAATTTTAGCTATTCATCACTAACACTTGTATTTTTTGGTGTAGCTGAATTTATTCAGAGTCTTGTGAAAATTCAAATATGAGCTTCAGAGATTGGAATATTTCTATAGAGTTTCTGAAGAAATGACTCATTGGGAAGCTGTGTTATCAGCATCTTTTTTTTTTTAAAGTCTAGGCCATTTCTTGCCTAACCTTTCTTTTCTTTTCTGACTGTTTTCAGTCCCTCTTACTTGGGAGAAATCACTGAGTTTTCACTGCACTGTCCCAAGAGTGCAGAGGCCCAGCACCAGCCCAACAGAGGGATCTGCTCACACTCTTTATCTTACCCCAGGCTCTCAACCCTGCACTCAGACAGTCAGCATTTCTCCTCTTCTGTGATCCAGATGCCTGATTTCCCACTTCAAAACAAAACCACTTCTAACAGTTCAGTTCTCAGGCCCTTCATTACGTCTGCAGAAAACAACTGCAGTCCTGTGCAGCTTCCTTCCTTCCTTCCCAGCAGAGCTTTTCCCTCCTGTCTCTTTTCCAGTTTCTCTTGGAGCTTCAGCTGCCTTTTCTCTGTAGCATGGAGATCAAAGAGGGTGGCTGTTGAATAACAGTTGGTTCTTCTGGGCTTCTTTCCCTCTTTTGAGCCAGCACTGGGCTGGTGTGTGGCTCAGCAGGACCGTCTGTGCTCGTGTGTTCCTCGAGCAGATCTCTTTGGGGCAAGGGCCCTGTGAGCCACCAGCAAGGATTTTAGCCCTGCAAGTTACCCACCAGGTGCTGTGTCAGAAATTTAAAGTTGGGTTTCTTTCTGCAGTTACAATTTTTGCCCCCTTGCAGGTATCCCCTGACAAATTACACGTTTGGCACCAAGGAGCCCCTGTATGAGAAGGACAGTTCGGTGGCCGCTCGGTTCCAGCGCATGAGGGAGGAGTTTGACAAGATTGGCATGAGGAGGACAGTGGAAGGGGTTCTGATCGTGCACGAGCACAGGCTGCCCCACGTGCTGTTGCTGCAGCTGGGTACAACTTTTTTCAAGCTGTAAGTGTTTCTTAAACTTTAAACTTTAGTTTATTGTCGCAGACCACTAAACACGCAGGCTAG